CTTGGCTTTGTGTATGAGATTTGTACATCCAAGGTTTTGGACAACAGCCATGCCACGACCATTCCTACTGTTATTTTAACAAATCATTTTGAAATAGAATGAGTATTTCCAAACCAAAACTTTTTGATGACTACGTTATATTTTCAACACAGAGATGCGCAGTCACTTTTTAATTTATTTCTTTTTAAGCACTCACCCAGCAGAGGATTTTTACTGTATGTGATAAATTAATACTCAGTTTGCGTGTGTTTTTATGTTACTATCCTTTACAGGGAAGAATTAAAAATTTGAAGCCACAAAAATATATTTTTAATCACTTCTAACATACTGGTGAGCTTTGGAGTTTTCACACAAAAACTATGGAATCTGACAAACTCTGTGATGATTTTCTCATCAAAGATGTTGCAGAAAGACAGAGGTCAGTTGTGGGGAAGCTGTACATCCCTGAGTTTGAAAATTGAGACAAGTAGTTAAAACTGTTCTATTTGAAGTTTTAGAATAGAGTTTTAGTGATAGAGCACCCACTGAAATTATCTGTGCCTGGGATTGCAAAAGGAATCAACATAATTAATTATTTTTTTTTTTGGTCAAAAAGTAATTAGCAGAAGCCCAGAAAAGTAACATATATACACAACTTTTAGCTTTTAAAGTGAAGCAGGTTATGATCAAGAATGGTGACTCTGATATTTCTCCAGGGAGGAGGATCTTGCAAATATGAATCACAAAGACTAAGGAAGAGTCACCAGTTCCAAAAAAACAGCAAAGCAACTCCACACTCTTGAGTCATAAAATGTGGCTATCACAGAACACTTGTGATTTCCTAACCTGTAAATTTCCATAATTGTGAGTTATTTTACATCATGAGAAGTTTCCAACAAACTCTAATGTGTCAGCTCCTTTAAAAAGGAAAATGTGAATATGTGTAGCAACGCATCCACAATAAATCCTTCAACATTCATGAAATTATATTACATACTATCAAAATAGTTACTTGGAGTAAAGCTACTTCTATATAAAGTCACAAGACTTTATATATATATATAAACCTCATAACTCAAATATATGTAAAAAAATAGACATGAAGAAATTCACCTTTTAAAAGAGAAGTTACAAAAATTGTCACAATTTCCTCAAATTTTATATAATTTTGTATAAGTATTTCCCTGCTTTAGATATAAATTTTAAAAAGAAAATTCAAAATAAATAAAACTGAAAACTTGATTCCAGTTGTGGAATGGATAAATCATTATTCTTGCAGGAAAAACCACAACAAAACCAAAACCCACAAGGCTGAACTTATGTGTATTTCCCTAGCTGTATCAGAGAACACTAAATCAACACTAAATCAAAGAAATGGCATTTTTTTTCTTCTTCAAAACTCCTGCTAATGAATAACATCATGATGCATTTCTCCATAAGCTAGACCACTCAGGCTTTCACTTAAATTATTAGCCATGGAAAACTTGTTCAAACTGTGAATTGCTCTCCTTCTTTCCTCTCTTAACTCCTCCCTTTTAAAATGATACAGAATATGATCTGTTACCTTACTACTCTCCTTTTAAGAGGAGAGCAATTAGTAATGGTAAGGGGAGAGTAGGCAACATAAAAACTTCTGTGATACAAAACTATGAATTTAGTTAAAACAAGAAATTATACTAGTTAAAAGGATCAATAAACAGATAAATATCGATTACAATATGAGGTTCTTCACAGATTATGATATCTAAAATACGAATTACTAGGAAGTATGAAGAGCAGTAACTCTATTAAAGCTAATGTTTAAAGACATAAAAAGTTTCTTAGCACTTCTTGACCAGAATTTAAGCTGAGTGTACATTTTTTTTGGTTTTACTGTACACCTCCTGAAGTCAGAAAGAAGAGAAGGGAAAAGAATTGTCATTTCCAGAGGAAAAAATCCAATAATGTAATATACAAGTAGATTAAAAAAAAAAAAAGAGGTAAGATAAAGAACTATGCAAAAAAAGAATGGACTTGAGTGTTTGGGCTTTACTGCATTTGAAACTACATCCTAAGGAATAGGGAAAAAAAAATAAGGAGAGTGAAGAACATAAAGGGACAAAACATGCCTTGTTCAAACACTTTTATATTTATGGTAAAATTAAAGAAAATCTAGAATTGACTTGATTTCTTCCAAGATTGAACTAGTCACCATCAAAGAAAAAGACTTCTGTCCTCACTGATATGACTATTACTGCCTTTTTAAAGTTAACTCTTAACTATTTTTTGCACTGTTCTTGATAGTTATTGTAACATTTTTCAGTCAGTGCTTACTAGGGTCAATATTCACATCTTTTAAGAGTTGGTACGGTTCTGGTCAAGATAAAATTCTCAAACAAAATAGATTTATTAGTGGTAAAACACATATTTTTGGACAGAAATCTTTTCCTTTCAACAAAATGTGTTGATGAAGTAAGAAAACCTCTGCTGTAAAACCTATACCTAACTTTAGTTAACAATACTTAAACAACAGTGACAGCAGTTCTGGGAAATAAGTGTAATGGGGTTAGTCTTTCAAAAAAACTTCTTTAGTCAGTAAAGGACTTTAAACAATAAATAAAATCTACGTAAAAGATAAACTCCAAACAGTTATGAGGTTCCACTTCTCCCAATATACAGAGAGGTGGAAACAAATCATATTTAGCAGCCACAAGAGGGGAGAGAGGTTAATCTCACCTCACTTGAGAGTGTCTACATCCAAATTCAGTACCAAAGGCAATGAAATGAAAATGAAATAGTTCTACGTGGTTCACTTCAACCTAACAAAGACACCTGAGGTCGGAGGAACCAGTCTTGGAAAAAGCAATGCCCTTTCCACAGTCTGCAAAGAGAGTTTTCATAACTAGATCACTTGTAGATGTCTAGATAGTCCTCTTTCATCTCAGTTGTTACAAAAACTTTACAGAAAATGAAAAAAAGTGCTAAAGCTGCACCGACGACAGGAGCTTCAGAACCTTAAGATGAACCATAAGGACACAAAGACAATTCAAAACTAACATCTGAAAAGAAAAACAAAAAGTAGGGAGCTGTGAATTTGCAGATAAGAGAAGTATCTTTTCTGCTTAATTCTAGGAAGAATGGGTACAAGGTGAAAATCCTTACCTAGAAAAGATTTCCACACATGGCCCTCAAAACTAGACCTTATCCCTCATTATTAAAAATAACCAAAATCCATACTTGTTCTAAGCAGTCTTGTAACAGGGCAATGACTCCATTAAAAACAGGGTAAAAATAACACAGTATTGCAGCAAATATCATAAAATGTGGGATGGTCTTGCATATAATGAAAATGAGCAATTTATTTCCAAAGACAGCTTATATAGATAACAGGCAGAGGAAATCCATAAAATAAATAGAGATTTAAGAGTTTCACTCCAAGACTATGCCTACGTATTGGTTTAGAGAAGAGAAAATTTATTTTCCTAGAAGCAGAACTCCTAAATAAAGATACATAAAAAAGATCAATAGAACCCCCCTGAATTTGATGGTTTCCATCCTTGAATTATGCATCACTGCCTGCAAGCCATACCTTCAATCTGCATTGCAATCATTGAAATAATCATTTTTTATTAAGTTTCAGATAATGGAATTGAAGCTCTGCTCTTCCCCTCTGCAGAGCTAACAACCTCCTTATCCAATGTCTTCATCAGCATTTAACTATTTTATTCAGAACTTTTATTTGATATTTTACCGGTGGCAATATTCAAGAAATAACTATCTACATCACTGTTTGCAATACCAATATGGGATTTCAAAAGAGACCTCTCTAAAGAGCTTGAGCTGCTCTGCGTCTCAGATATGTTTTATCAGTCTGTTTTAAGATGAGCAAAGACAATATTGTAGCAGCTTATGCTCATTTGTCATTTGGAAGATTGATTTTCTTTTCTCACTCCCCACAGCCATATGGATTAGAAACTCATTTATTTCCCTTTGTTATGAAAACATAATCTGAAGCAGAAGTATGTAGCAAATTCAAAAAGAAGGATAATTATGCAACAAATAAAACACTGGATAATCTCATTATACCATAGATGGGCTTTGACAATAAGAGTGACTAGAACATTTTGAATTAGAAGTCAACAAAATTAAAATGCATTAAATGAAATACATATTAACATAATGTTTAACTGCAGCAAGAGACAACTGAAGGCTTAGAAAAATTTAGAAATTAATCAGCTCTATATATGGAAACAAGAACAGAATTAACTTGATAGGATAAAATAATATACCACAAGTTCCAATATTCTTTCTTTAGTCCAAGCTGCTAATCATTCGGGATCAAGGAGAGATGCAACCCTTGTATACAACCATGTAGTCCACTTTTTCATGTGGATTTTGGGCATCATCTCTCTGGTATTGTATAACCTTTGTTTTCATTAAAATTCACACCAATGATGAGTTTTGCAAAGCTTATTAATTATTATTACTAGCTACAAGGATAATCAGAGATAAATGTCCTCGAGCATCAGAAACTAGGCTCTGAATTTGATGACCAAAAGTTAAATATTGCTTTCTTTTTTTTAAATATACTGGGATTTGCTTGGTTAAGATTTTGATTTCTTTGTGTTGTTTCATTTTATCCTTACAATTAGATTTAATGTTCCAGAAAAGGTAAAGCAAGTGTTTTGCTTTGTTTTGGTTTTCTTCCCCTAAATAAAAGGCAAATTTCATGCAATGGGATCAACACTTTTGGGAAAAGAACTTTACCATATATAGCAAGACAAAAGAGATTTTGTAGCACGGTTTTTTAGTCCTCAAAATAATTCCTTCTGTCTTAGTGGAGTATTGCTACAGCAAGAGTTTTGATGTTTGTTTGCTTTTTTACAGTCTTTCATCTCTCAAAAGCTAAATGACTTTGTATATTTAATTATCTACACACTTCAGGTGTGGTTATTCATATTCCACTGCCTTGCTTAGATTTACAACAAGTCTCTTTTTACGTCTTCTGCAGAAACTTAATTCTCATTATTGAAAGAACATACCCAAATGCTTTCTTCCTGACGATACTGCTTCCAGTTTCTTCCACTGTCGCTGAACATCAGAACGTAACTTGTTACCCAGTCTGAGCTCCCATAACCACCTTGAGTAGCAACAGCAGTAATTTCGGTTCTTTCGCCGAGATCAATCTGAAGCCATTGATATTTATTGGACACGAGTGGAGACCAGCCACCAGCACCTTAAAAAGAATGAGAAGGAGTGAAATGTATTCCTAAAAATAAGGATGTTAACACAAAATTTGTATATATACATTTATATGACACAAAACTTGCAAAACTAAATCAGTTTATTTGAGCAACCTGATCAAATGAAAGATGTCCTTGTCCAAGGTAGGGGTTTGAAACTAAGTGGTCTTTAATGGTCCTTTCCAACTCAAACTATTCTATGATTCTATGCTTCTAATTCAAGATATAGTTGTACCAAAACTGTCTTGGTATTATTTAGCAAGTATTATAAAAATTTATACAAATTATTTGATATTTGTAACCAAATGTAACAAAAGTGAGATCATTGTGAATTGATTCACACCCTTTTTTTCTCTCTCTAAATTCTCTAATGAATTTTACCGGGTAATTTTTAACCAATTAGACCCTTTAAGTCAAAAATTCTGAATTTTGTCTTTTTTATTTTATACATCTCAGTTTTATTTTATGCAGACTAGAAGATCTCCTGAGGCCCTGCCTACTCTGAATGATTCTGCATGATTCTGTTCTGTGAGACCTGGATATAGAGACTTGCATGTGAAGAAATAAAGACTAATTAGATGACAAATTTTGCACGTGCCTCTTAAAGTGACCAAGAAATTTGTAGGCAAAACAGTAAGACAGTATGAAGTATACACATGTAGTTCAATCACAGACACAGCCCTTTGCAAACATAAAATTTCACTCAAAACATAAGAACTAAACTCCTCCAGCATTTTAATTAATCAGAAAGACATGCTGAAAGGAAGAAGGACGTCATATCAATTCAGTGCTCCCGTGTCTTCCCTTGTTTGCCTTTATTTATTCAGATCATGCTACTAGCTTGTCTATAAAGCTGGGTGGCAAAGGCCACGGCAGGTCTCAAACGATCTCATGAGAAAAAAAATATTCGTTTATGAAACCGCTCTGCAAAATCTGCAAGTATCTGCAAAATCTGGTGATTTTTATTAAAGAATAGTGTGACAGAAATTATAAAAGCGCCATTTTGTAAGTACAGATTGAGCTCTAACACAAATAAACATAAGAGGCACCTTGAAAAGTTCTTAAGACATACATGCACAGAACAAGAATGGATATATCTAGTTCCCACAACAATCACTAAACACTGTCTAATGCAGAAGTAGCTGCAATCCAATCTTATGCTTGAATAGGTTTCAAGACGTAGAAATATTCACAAGCAAAATAACACATATGGTTTACTTCTGTTCAGAGTCATGATTCAAGTTCTTAACATTATCTCCTCCAGGGGAAAAAAAGAAAAGAAAAAAGAATTTTTACTTAGGGATGTAAAACTGTCATTTAAATATGGAATAGTGGGAAATCACATGGGTGTTCATAACACACAAAACGTGAGGTTCATTCTACAGGGCAAAGTAAGTGGAAATACTGAAAGAAATACATACAGTTCCACATATGTAAAATATCTTTCTCCACACATTTATGAGTTAATTAAAACATGATGGGATTAAAACTATGGGTGGAGTTAAATACCGTGTAGATTTTTTAATATTTTTTTCCAAATTTTTAATATTTTTTTCCAAACCCTTCTCAGAATACTGTGTCACTGAGCAAAGCTTGGTGACATTTTTGAACTTTCCACTTGAAAGGCAGGGTTATATTCTAGTCAACAGCAGTGGTCTGGCAGGCTGTGCTGAGCACATAATTTTTAAAACCCTTCTGCCAAAAAGCATTTTCGCTTGGTGAAACTGCAGAACTTTATTCAGAATGAAGCGATAGAAGTTATAAAGATGTAAATGAAGATGTAAGTAAAAAATGCCTGAAGAGCAGTCAGTTATGACAGTACTACTTGCTGCCAGCCTGAGGAAGATACTCCTGTCTTTAGTACTGCATTTTCCAGAAGCTTTTGCGAGGCACCATCAGACAGGCTGTTGGTGAACGCCGGGATTGCGAAGCCTGGAAAGAACAGCTTTAGAAACGAGTCCATCACAGCGGTGGCTTCCCGGGATTGAGTGAAGCAGAAAAACAATAACTACTTACGTTTTCTATTGTACGGGTTCTCCCTGAGCTGTGTAGTTCCCCCAACCCACATGGCCCCATTTGGAACCATGTTGTCTCCCCTTCCCAATTGTGGACTCCACCTCTGCACAAGCAGGATAGGCTGCCTCACCTGCCTCTCCCCAGTCCCTGGTTCTGTTACTGGAACACGGTCCTTCTGTATCCCCCATTGGTCAGTAGAGCCCTCAAGTCATTCCCTTTTGTGAAGGAACAAGATTCAGGATGGGAGTGGTTCTGGGAGAGGTTCCAGGAGTGGAGAAAAACCTACAGCAATTGACTGGACTTTATTATATGGATCTTACAGTTATTATATGGACTTTACTGTTATTATGTGGTTTCAGATATGTATATTGCATTATATCCACACTACACAGTGCACAGCCTGGGCATGCTCAGGCTTGTCATGAGTTCTGCCTGCTCCCTGCTTCCCCGCTCCCCTCTCTGATAGGCTGAAGAGGCTGCAGAGAGGAGACAGTTACCATTCGACCTTTTCTTCCCTGGTTCCTCCCACATTCTGCCCCTTCACCTATGTCCCTACCCCAGTTTGTTCCCTTGATAGCCTGTCTCATGTTCTACCCCATGTTCTAGCCTTTTCCCTGCCTGAACTCACAAAACCCCGACACCCCTCAATAAAGCATTCCATTTGCACCTCTACCTTGTCTCCAGACCAGTCCATGCTGTGTCACAGCCTCATCCCTCCTCGGACCGTGGCACCCTTTCCCCCAGACCTTGGCCCAGTCACGTCCCTTCTTCTTGCCCTCCCCCCGAGCCCACATAAACTGTGGGAGTTTCGAAATAAAGGTCTTTTCACCTTGGAACCCAGAGAAGAAACTTGGCTGCTCTCTCCTCCTGCCAAAGAGGACCGCGTGGCTGGGTGCTTCTCTGGGAAACCTCCAGAGGGGAGTCCACATTCAAGCTCTGTTAATTGGTGCCCATCAGCCAGATCCCAATGACATTTTCTACCATGTAGAGATTTCCTTGGATGTCCCCGGGCACATGCGACAAAGTGATTCTTGGCTTCCATCTCAGACAGACTCTGCAACTCAGCATTGGATTTCGACCTACAGAACTCAGAAGATAGGCCCGCAGCTGTACAGTTCAAGAACTCTATTTTATCACATTCATGGGGGCTCTATCTTCAAAGTGGGAGTGTGACACTTACAAACGCTTAAAAGGTCTTATTTATTTGCATGGACACCTGTTAGACAAGGACTCTTTAAAAGCACTGATTAAATGGATTTTAAACACAACCACGTGCTACCCAGCCCCATATCATACCAGGAATGGGACATATTAGGACGTGAATTATGGAGCGCTATACAGGCAAATGACTCTTTAGCTATACCCGGCCAGCTCAGTCGGTAGAGCATGAGACTCTTAATCCCAGGGTCATGGGTTAATGTTCCATGTTGGGTGCCAATTAACAGAGCTTGAATGTGGACTCCCCTCTGGAGGTTTCCCAGAGAAGCACCCAGCCACACGGTCCTCTTTGGTAGGAGGAGAGAGCAACCAAGTTTCTTCTCTGGGTTCCAAGGTGAAAAGACCTTTATTTCAAAACTCTCACCGCAACATGCTGCACTACATTCCATAGAAAGAAGAGAAGGAAGCACAGATACACAGTGTCCTAATACCAGCTAATGTTAGTTGATTTGAGGGATTACAGTAAAGATGCAGTCCAGAAGCCACGTGTCAGCCCTCTAGTGACCAGTGTAACATAAGGCCCATGCAGAATAACCACAGAGCAAAAGCAGCACAGAAACATAGAATCATGGAATCAGCTGGGTTGGAAGGGACCTCCGAGATCATCAGGTCCAACCCTCCATCCACTACCACTGTGGTTCCCAGACCATGGCACTGATGCCACATCCAGTCTCATCTTAAAAAACTCCAGGGACGGAGAAGCCACCACCTCCCTGGGCAGCCCATTCCAATGGCTGATTACCCTCTTTGTAAAGAATTTCTTCCTAAAATGCACGATGCCTCCAACAAAGTGAAGTCACAGCCTGGACCACCACTCAGAAACTGCAATATGTTTCCTGAAGCACTGCAATGCTCTGGTTCACACGATGCTTTCATCTGCCAAAGGCTCCTCAGGAGCTCTCCCGTCTGACTGTCCAGCAGCCAGCTGTCCTCCCAGCATCTGCCTGCTCCTGCACCAGCACAGAGAGGAAAAAATACGTACTCTTCAAACATATATCCTACCAGACAAGAGCCAGAATGATCACAGTCCTGCAGTAAACACTAGTAGAGCATGTTAGCTCCTCACCCAGCATTTTATCGTCTGTTTTACAGTGTGTCCTGTCCTTGCAGCAAGACTGATGAGTGTGACAAATTGCAGTCACTTTTTGCTGTGACTGGCTGCATAATAGGTGTCAGAAGGATCCTGTTGAAAACCAGAAAGGTTTGCCAGATGTTTGTGCTGCATGGTGTGGATGTTTCTGGAGAGATCTGGAAAGAGATCTCCTAAAGAGACTCTGTGGGGAAGCAAATAAATCCACGGAGTGCAACACACTCATATGTTCATCAAGACTTTGACAAAATACGTGAACACACAGACACACGCTAAGGTTTACGGGAACGTAATTTTGTGCTCCTTAAACTTCCTGAATAATTGACTTTGAATTCTTCACTTTAACTCTCTAACTTTTCTTTTTGCCCGTGTCATTTATCTAAAGCACACATTTTCTTCAGTTATTGAGTGGGCATTCTAACAGTCACTAAGGACACATCTTTTGTTGTGAACTAACAGCAAATCAGAAAAATAATGTTCACAGGGGAGACAACCTGTATCTAGAGTTGTTTTGGTTTTTTTTTTAACTTTGTCTCAATAAGTGTTTAACCCTCTTTATTTTCCACTATTTCTTGCATCCACCATACCAAAAAACCACATTCAATCTGGAAAAGCATGCAAGTTTCATGTTTGATTCCTGTTAAAACCCCCAAGCATTGCAGAGGTACT